ACAATAAAGACAGCTCCCATTTACTGCACGCCTGCTATGAGTGACAGTACATTTCTCTTACGCCTCTCAACCGTCCCACAAGGGCAGTATCAGCATCCACATTATATAGACAAGGACACTGACCGAGAAATGACACCACTTCCTCTTTCTGAACCTCAATTTTCTCATCTGTAAAGAGGGTACAACTCTAACTACATCAGCAAATTTAGAATGAGGATCAAGCAAAAGATCTTATGAAATTTCTTACTACAATATCTGACAGAAAGGAGTGGCGCAGTAAATATCAGTTGATGATGAGTGTGAAATAATTAGACTGTGTGTGTGAAGGGTTGCAAGAGAGACATTTACCACATGCCGTGGGAACACGGAGAAGAGAGGGACTGACCTTGAGACTGTAAGAGGCTGTGTCTCCTTCTCCTTTATGTGAAGAAGCAGCACCCAATGGCTGTCTTCAAGTATTTGTAAAACCAGCATGCAGAGGAGCAAATGGACAGGTTGTGAAAACAAAAACTGGAAATTTCAGAGAGTAACATTCATTGGCTCAACCAAAGGAGAAGTCGTCTAATAACAAGAACTAACAACAGAAGGCGGGGGGCCTACTGCAGGGGCAGATAGTGTCTCTATCAAGGGGGTCTGGATGCTGTCATGCTAGGACCGCAGCAGGGATGGAGATGGTTTTGCTTGTGTAACAGCCATATTTTGAATTGCTAATTGAACTCTTCCAGCTCTAAGATCCCATTATTCTTTCCTACCTCAAGTTGCACTTAGCCCAAAAAGGAGTAGATGTTCAATAAATGCTGGTTAAACAGAATACCCTTTACACACACACACACACACACACACACACACACACACACAGCCCATTCTGACAGCTCTACTATCCTTCCCCATTGTGGATGTCACAATGTGTTTCCCAATTTTTTGACTCCGATCTCTTTCAGGAAAAAAAAAAAATCTTTATTTGGAATCAATTCTCCATCCCTACTGGGTTCTGTCCTTTCCTTCCCAAATGAGCCTGGATCCTACCCTTCCAGTCAGACATGAAGTCAGGACCCAGATGAACCAACAGCCCCTCCAGCCCTTCCTTGCCAGGGATGGCAAAACACAAAGCCCACAGGCAAAGTTAGCAACTGAGTTCAAGTTAGGAGGTTGCGAGTGGTTGTTTCCAAGTCTGCTGTAACAGGGAGAGGGTGGCAAGATCCCAGCCAGTCTTCATCCAGATTCTGCATCCACTCTGCGTCTAACCTTGCAACAGCATCTTCGGCAGCAAGCCACCCTCCCGGAGGCCTGAGGGCCTATTTCCTCTGTATTAACTCCCACAGGCAGGTTGTAACAGCTTAACTGCTGGGCAGAAAGCATACCTGCCAGGACTTTACTATTGATTCTTCCTGAATTGCTTTGGCCCTGTCTTTTACTGCTTCATTAACTCAGGAGGTAAACTAGGGCGTAAGTCTTTGCCTTTGGGGGGTGGGGAGGCAAAAGGGATTCCTTTAAATAGCAACATCTACCCTTTCCTGGCTCAAAAGTGGATTTGATTTAGACATAACATGTCATAAACTGGGTACTTCTGGAAGCTTCTACGCATACAGCTGGCCAACTCCTTTCTTACCCTGACATGACCTGAGCTTGGAATCTTTTCTTCTGAGGATAGTTTAGTGAACAGAGTAAGTTTTTGTAGTCAGGAAGCTACATCGGAGTTTGAGTTCTAACATGACTGTGTGGCCTCACTGGATTTCTTCCTAAATCTCTTGGGCTCTCTTAGCTCAGTGCCTCTCGTGTGGCTTACAAGTGATGTACTTATTACTAGTGGAGCAGCAACATGGCATAGCACTGAAGAGCCTGGGTTCTAGAGCCTGATTGCCTGGGTTCAAATCCCAGCACAGATGCTGTGTGACTTTAGAGAAGTTGCTAAACCTCTCTGTGCCTTAGTTTCCTAATCTATATAATGGGAGTGATGATAGTGATACCTCGTGAAATTGCTGTGAGGGGTAAGTACAAGCACTGAGAACACTGAGTGGTCCATCCCAAGTCCATGTGTTTGCTGTCACTGTTATTGGTACTGCCACCACTACCGTAATTTCTATTGTTATTTGTCCGTCCTGGAGCAGTTTCGGGCTTCTAACATCCACTGTAAGCTAAGGCCTGGGGGTTCTGCCTAGGATGAGAAGACAGACAAGCTCATCAAAATATTGACCTTGCAAAAATTCAGGGAGAGGTGGGGGAGCACAAACGAAGGGGTGAGAACAAGCACACGAGGTAGTTGGGGCCTGGAGTGCCTACACCAACACAGACATCTGTACCATCCCATCGCCCCCAGGAAACCCAAGAGTGGCCTACCAGGACCAGGCCAACAAGATCGTGGTCACGGTCCAGAAAGACTGAGGCAGAGACGGCCCAGGGTAGAGGCCATACCGTGTATCCTTACAAAAACAAAACTTCACTAAGCCAAACTAAAGTGAAATAACGTTCTGCTCTCCCAGATAGATCCACAGACTCCTTCCAAAGAAAAATCTCTGGCCAACCCCAAGTCCACCTATTTGGTTTGTGAATTAATATGTCTATTTGCTTGTTTCTCCTCTGCAATTCAAATGTGTGCTATTTTGTACTTTCCTGTTTGGCAGTAAGGGTTCTCCCAAGGCATCCGCTGGCCCAGGGGCCATAGAGAACAAGGGCAGTGGGGGGAGGTCACAGTTTCCAAACTTGGAGCTGGCAGCATATCCGGCTGTTCTCTCCACCTTGAGCTGGCTAGACACAGGTTTTCTTTATTCCTGTTCATACCGGAGAGTGGCCCTCACACTGTCCACCCAGTGTCCTCTAGCAGCGAAACCAACATGGGTGTGAACTAGGTTGGTGTCTGGAACTTTGGGCCAGGAGCTGGTGAGGGTGACAAGAAATAGAAGTCCCATTTCCTGCTTCCACAGATTGCAGTCCAGCAGGGAGACAAGGTTTAAAAGTTCACGGCTAGAGCATTCACCTTCGAATTACAAAAGCACCAGTCTGATAAGGGAGGGGTGAGGCTCAGCCTGAATCTCACCCTCTGAGCCTCTCTCATCCTCTGTAGTCTCCTACGCTCCTGGGAAGGAAATCTGAACTTCTGGGGGTGTGGTGGTCAAAAGAAACAAGGAGGAGATTGATTAAAGAATAAATAGTACTTTAACTTAAAAGTATCTTTAAAACACTAACCAGGATGGGTGTGCTTATATAATAGGCATACAGAATTATAAATATACATAGGGCTCTCAAATATATCATATGCCTGAAGATCCAGGTGTACAGGTATATCTCTATAGAAGTGTCTTTTCTTCCTTTGAATAATTTTTGCAGGGAGGGCTAGTAGGAGCTTGCAAAAATAGGGCAAACAAGGCACGCCCCTTCCAGAAATATAACTTTAGGTTGCCTCTCCCCACC